ACTTAGTGGCAAATTTCATAAACATATTACTAATTGATATAATAATAGTGGTGAATAAAGAAAAAAATTCAGATTGTCTTTACAAAATCAGAAGAACAAAAAACATAGAGCATCGTTTAGAACAATGGCAAAAGAAGTACAACTACAAAGTGGAATTGGTAAAAGCTCTACCCGAAAGCAAAAAATATAAATATACTCATTGTATGGAAAGACTAATACATTTAGAATTAGAAGTATGCTGAGTAGATTTATTGTATGAATGCTATAAACAAAAAATATAATAAATAGTTTAAATCAAAAAAAAAGGTGGTATGTTTAGTAGCGAAGAAATGTGTGTATTTCATAGAGAAAGCTTATTAATCAAATCCATAAGCCTTCTCTATGAAATATACCCATTTCTCTGCTACTGAATATACAGCTATTATCATAATTACTGAAACACCTGATAATGATTGTTCAGCTGATTCGGTTAAGTTATAAATTTCGGGAATAATAAGATTTAGTAATGAATATATTAGATACGTAATTTAATAAGATAATATATTACAATAAGACTAAATATCGACATGCACTTGTAAGCGTAAATTTCAATTCCTATTCTTTGGCGCAAACTATTTTCGCTTAATTGAATCCATTATTCATTTCTAATATTTCGACGAAAATTCGGGTTTAAAAAATTGTATAAAATTTCAATTCCTATTCTTTAGCAAGATCTATTTTCATTCAAACAAAGTCTTTATTTTTTTCTTGTCGAAGACGAAAAATTAGTTTTTAAAAAAATTGTATAAAATTTCAACTCACATTCTTTGCAAGATCCATTTTTATTCAAACGAAGTTTTTATTCATTTCTAATTGTTTTCAATGAAAATTCATTTTTAAAAAATTTTGCAAAATTTCAATTCTGATTCTTTGGCAAAATCTATTTTGTTTATGATAAACGAAGTCTTAGTAGGGCGAAGTTAGGAGTTCTGGGTCACTTTTTCCACACCTCTATATGACTTATATATTAAATTGCATTTTTCAAGCCATTCCTGCTATATTTTATATCATTTTTATATACTTTAGCTTGGTGTAAATTTTCATAT